ATGCGATATGAAATAACAACACAACGGCAGCATTTATAAGCAAAACAAGCCGACCGACAACGACGAAAAGTACAGAGAGCGAAAAAAAAACCACGCAGCAGCAGCAGCATACACACAAAACGACAACGAGAGATATTATTAAGATTTATGTTCATCGACCGACAGCTTTAATTGAAATTGCGCGCGCATACATGTGAACAACAAACCATCTCAACTGTCGTTGTTGCTGCTGTTCGGCTACACTACGAAAACATGTAAATACTGTTTTTACACCAAGTGTCTTTTTTTCCGCTGCTTGCCAACCATTTTATCCTTCCTCTTATGCATAACAATGTCCGAGTGCATCATGTATGTGATTTAAGGAGAAACATACAAATTCATACATAGTCTTTTGGAGCAAGACAATCTTTTTTCTTCTGCATTTTGCTGACCGAATCGAATCGTCTTGTTATCTCAAGCACCTGCCAATTTTGGATACAAATTCATTATATGCGATCGAAAGAAAGTGACCAGAAAAGTCGGGCAAAAAGCGTCTGCCAAAAAAAAGCAGATTGCAAGTGAAACTGAAAATCGATATTTTACAATGACATTCAAAACGAGCCGAACGAGTCATAGAGAGCAACAGAGCGAGTGGTCGAGAGTCAGAAGAAGAGAGTCTATAGACCAGTTGACCAAGTTGAAATGCCATTCACAAAAGTGACATCCAATTAAATGGGCCAAGAAAATCGATATCGATTGCATTCATCGTACACAACATCATCAGAACCCTCGAAAAATTACTTCCGCTGTATTGACGTCACACTATTCTAATTCGACGGCGCTGACGCGCGCGTTCCACTCGTGAAAAAGTGTTAAAACGCGCTATGTTGATTTTTGCCTGAAAATTCGACGTCGTAAAAATTGTGTGCCACATTTTACTGGACGAGCGAGAGGGGTAGAGAGAGAAAGAGAGAGAGCGAGTCCTTTTTTAAACAACAGCTCGTGCTAAATACGTCGTTCGTATTACGAAACCGGTCTTTTCCACTATAATGATATAAATGACATTGCAAATAGAAACCGTTCATTTATTTGTTGCAGTCGAGGAAACCGAAGAAAAAACAACGAAAAACCAAACCCGAGCACAACGATTGCAGATTTCTCAGCGAGTGGTGTGAGCCGTGTGAATGTGTGCTTCTAAAGAGACGTCACTTTTCGAGTAAATACTCAAAACACAAACACACACACACACACACATTCCGATACGAAAGAAGCCAGTCGTCGTCGCGTTTGCTGCAAAACGCTAAAAGGTATTTGTATTTTCGTCGTCGACACACAATCGAAAATAGTGTGTATATGCAAAATGTGAAGAACAACCATTCGACCGACCGACTGAATGGGAACGAGCAAACGAGTACAGCGAGCAAGAGAGAGAGAGAGAGAGAGAGAGAGAGAGAGAGAGAGAGAGAGAGCTAGCGTGTCAGTTGAGTGTTGTGGGGTCGATGTCAGTACAAACAAAATCGATTCGTTAAATTTCTAAATAGTAAACGCAAACATGTGATTCTTCAGGGTGAATGTCTTTCAAGCTGCTTAGAACTGATACGTATTTACGAAAGAAACGTTGTTGTGACGATTGGCGCAAAGAAAAAAAAACACACATACACACAAAATCTGGGTAGAAAAACACGAATCACAACCGAAATGATACGGAATCAAATGACACGATTTTACCCAAAATAAACGTGCTTGAATGAAACACATTGACGTGCGTTTTTTTTTCTCGTTGAGAACAATACATTTTTGATGCGCTTTTTTTTGGATGGAATTTGAATTTTGAAATGAATGACTTTTGGCATATGAAAAGCAATTTTTAGATTAATGAACTTTATTCATACACACATGAATTCTAAAGAGAATTTTTCTACTCAAATATTCGATATGAAAACGGTGAAACATTTCAATCTTAATGGGCATATAAGAAAAAGTAAATAAAAGAATATTCAGAATATCAGTAAACATAAATAGATTGAAAGATTGAAATGTCATTAAAATAACAATAAATAGATTCAAAAGTCGAATCAATTCAAATTCGACCGAGAAAGTTTAAATTCGATAGAAAAAAATCCAATTCGACTAAGAAAAAATCGAAGTCTAGTATAAAAAAAAACCAAGTTTGCCTGAAAAAAACGTCCAACAAAAAAAATGATGCAAGGCTAAGAAGGAATTTACCCACGTAAGAAACCACGTACAAATATCTTCAGTATCAGTATTACGTCAATACGGTGTTCGCAATCAATTTTTTTTTCGTGTCTTCGTTGGTTGGTATGTTATGAAAGAAGACGAATTTTCAGCCAATCGTATTAAACCACGAGCAAGAAAGAAGTTTGTCGATCGATAACAAAGCGTATACACATAGCAGCAAAAAAAATTTCTCCGAATATGTCGAAGCCAGTGGTGGTTGGTAGTCAGTGAAAAAGCGAGCACATAAATGATTATGATATATTGTGCATGGAGAAGAAAACATCGACCGACAGAGAGAGAGAGAGAGAGAGAGCTCATCGTGTCTACTGTTCGGTTTTCTGTGTGATATAGTGAATTATGATTCATCGATATGAACGAGACGAGTCTTTTGGGGGCAAAAGCACAAACACACACACGTACATGCAGCCAAACACATACACATAATGGTGGAGCGTCGTATACATCGTTCTGTCTCTGTCTAGTTGTCAATAATTTTTGGATATTGCGATTTATGTGTGTTGTACCACCAATGCCAATGCATTGGCATTACGATCAAAACTGGCTACTCCACCGCATCGAATATGTGTCTATCTGCTGCTATACAAAAAGTGTAGCGAATGAGCTCCCCAAATACACACAATGTTTCCATACGCAGTCGAAATATATATATATATATATATATCACACATTCAGTTTGAATCATCCACCAAAAAAAGCGATAGCTCTGTCTCCCTCCCTCCCTCTCTCGCTCGTTCGATATGTTCGGTTTTCTGCAGACATTAGAAAAACATCGAGAACCCTCTGTATCGTGATTATGTTCGATGTTCACGCATACTCATCAAAAACTCCCGTTTTCTCTATCTGGGGCTGTATGACAGCAAGAGGAAAAATATAAAAACGCCAAAGAAAAACCATTCAATTCATATCTTTGTGTATGCCTCTGCAAAACTCTCTTAATTTTCCTCCAGTCTTTTTCAATACACGAATACAACACACTTTTTTTTTCGCTCGTTATCCAGTTTTCCGCCACAACGCAACAGCAGCAGGAAAATATAACATCTCTGTATGAAATGAAAATGAATAATACTTATGTACAAAAATGAACGAACGTAGCAGAGCGGCAACAGCAGTACAACGATGAACAAACGAACGAACGAGCGAGCGAACGTACGAACGAACGAAAGAAAAAAAAAACAATAAAACCCGGTGTATATATTGCATACTATAACCAAAAATATGCTCCGCCTCGATGTTTCATATTCTATTGAAAATATAAAATATAATAACGCTCCGCCTGCCCATCATAAAAGTTTTAGCAACAACAGAGACACACAGCAACCTCACTCATTGCTGCCGCGCGCGCTCTGCTTCGATATATTCTCTTTCTCATATCTCTGCTGCTGCTGCTGCTTATTCTTCTCTTTGGCATTGGCTTAGTGCTCTCTGCTTGCTGTCTCTGTGTCTGTATGGGATACACGCACACAGTCACACACGACCATCTCTCGAGCTCTCTATTTGAGAATATGAATAGGAGCACACGTTCGTTCGGTATGTTCGCGTACGTACGTAGATATATCCGTACATGTATGTATATAGCCAATGCTCACTACATGCACAGTTGGTATTTTCTTCATTTTGGCTCGATGTATGTGTATGTGCAGTGCACAGTGGATCGGCGTTCGTTTATTCGTTTTCTTATGCTTTTATAAAAATATGTAATATTTCTGACGGTACAATACTACACACCGTCGCACCGCACACTCTCCCCTTTGTATCGTCGCTTTCTCGCTCGCTCGCTCGCTCGCCGCTCGTCATCGTCATCATCATCATATCTTTTGTAATCGGATCGAGTCGTTTCGTATGCGTGTATATGTATTGCTTATTTTATCCTATATTTCGCCCTAAAGCATATCAGGCCGCATAACAGTGGGCTTTATTCGAATCAAAACCGAACAGCGTAGAAAAAAACATACAGAAGAAGAAGAAGAAGAAGAATAACAATGCTTACGAGAATACGAGCAAAGGAAAAATGAAAACCCAACGAGAGAAAATTATGAATGTGTCGTATTTGACTGGCTGAGTGTGTCATATAAAGAGCCAGAGTTAGACCGAAAGCGTTTGCATGTGTGTGAGTGTTGCCTAGCCGATGCGACACGAAGTTGGTCGAACGAATCGGCAAAGTAAACTCCTCGAAGTATTCTACAAACAGGAGAAACATACGATCGACGGGGAATGCGGCAACGATGACGACCAAATGATGAACGATGCATTTTCAACATGCGGAGAAATATTCTCCGCCACAACGTTATTCACCATGCTCTTGCTGGCTCATATGCGCTGCACAAAACTGCGGTGATAATGCCGGCGATACTCACATGATACACACGTGTGAGTGTGTGTATGTGTGAATGTAAATAGTAAACAATACACAGGCAATACGTTACTGTTGGGTGTTTGTATTCCATTGTCGCTTCATTCATTGGCTTATGTGGCTTGGCATATCGTGTCCATGTGTTCGTACAATGTTTTGTTTTTTTTTTATTCCTCGTTTCATTACATCGTTCGGGTGCTGTTCATACGTACAACAAATCATCTCGAATGTTGTCGGTAAAAATTCATATCTCGCTCGCAAACGAAACGTACAAACGAATGAGGAAAAAAAGACGTGAAACACATACACTCACACACGCTCGCATCGACGACTGACTGTTAGCTGCTGCTGCTGCTTCAGCTCTCTACGTTCCATTCAATCGTACCGAATTTTTTCAGTTCAGTTCTGCCTTGTCCGTTGTCGCGTAATCGTAACACTCTGAGTTTTTGCGTTTGCTCGCCACACCGCTCTTACTATACGAACAACAAGAAGAAATCACTACCAAAAACGAACGAAAAAAAAAATTGACAAATCAAATTATTCGTGGTGTGTTCGAACTAAACCGAAAAAATATTGTGCTATTTTTTTGATCAACCAATTTTAATTTGTCTTCTGTTTCATTTATTTATTTTTGAGTTTTGAGATTCAGTGGAATTTCTTGTACAAAAAAAAAAGAGACAAGCGACGACTCTTGAAATTGAGAACATAGTGAACATTGCGCAAAGCGAAGAAAAAAGAAAGAAAATCAAATGAAACGAAAAAATTTGATGTAAAATGATGAATTATAATGAAAATAGTGCAGATGAAATATTTGATGTGACACAATTCAAAAACCCGAAGAGAAAAATAATTACGTACTATTATTAATTTTGGTGAAGCAGCAGCAACAACAGCGACCGAAAAATTATATTACACAACTGTAAAACGACAGAAAAAAAAACAATCGAACATTATGACGATATAATTTTTTGCGGTGTTTAACTGTCTTATTGGGTGCGCTCGGTGCTTCTTCTACTTTTATCAACATCGCAGAGAAAAAATCACAAAAACTTGATACACAAACCAGAGAAACATGCATGCGGTTGCCAAAGCAAAACGAACAAAGATGAAGTAGATCGTTATTAAAACATTGTCAAAATAGATTTATCGAATTAAAACGCGATTCATTTCACAAGGCGAAAATTTATTTATTTGATTCGTGTCCATTTGTTTTTTTTTCGCTCATTTCTTTGCCTTATGTTTTTTTTTCTTCTGTCGCGTAATAACCGAAAGAAAAAGAGTGTTCTTGAAAGAAATTCGTGTAAATAACTTGAAAATTTCGTAAAACAAAAACTGTTTATAAGGTCCAACTGATGTGCAATAAAATTCCTAAATAAGCTTAGATGATTTAAAAAAAAACAAGCGAAGAAAAAATTGTAATTTCTAACGAAAAACACAAATCGTCGCTCATCACTCACCGAATACTGAATTGATGTTCGGCGTAAAAATTTAAGAGTTGATCATTTCAACTGAGAGTAAACAACAAGTGAAACTTTTTTTGTAAGTGGCAAATAAAAATGATCCAATTTGAAACGGTCAAATATGGAATATTGAAAAAAACCACGGATAATCAAAAAATGTCAAAAGGTTTGTGCTTTTTTCTACTTCTTCTTCCATTTGATTCAATTTTAATCGTTGATTTGCTTGTGTTCTGTGCCCATTCGCACCTAGTGCCAGTTCTGTTTACTTTGATTGTGTCGTTGTCGTCGAAAAATTACTGAAAAAAAGAAACAAAACAAATTTTGAAAACAAACTTCGAATCACTTTGAGACAGATTCATGTTTTTGTTTATGTAAAAGCCATTTAAATGGTTTATCATAAGTTTTGATGAAATGTCCATCCGGAAGTGTGATCTTAGCATTTTTTTTTATTGACATTTTCTGTTGTTTATACAGAATATCGACCATTTGAGACAGATAAATGATCAAAGCCGAAATGAAAATGCATCCATTTTTGATTCGAATCAACATAAATATGTTACAAAGTTGCGTTGCACTTAGCTAATGTTGTACGATAGAAGAGAAGACCAAAGAGTCTTTACTTGAGAAGGCCAAAGAAACCAAAACCGAAAGATCTAAATTTATGATTATTTCCAATTCATAGCACTTGGTGATACTGAAACGAAAATTCAAACCAAATGTTACGTTTTCGTTGAGAATCTCAAATTGAGATGAACCAAAATGTATTTATAGTGTCTATCTATATGAGTTTATCGTTCGTGAACTGCTTTTGTTTTCGAAATGTGTGCCTTTCAATGTTCAAAATGGATATTTTTCGTGCGGCCGTCGTTTCAGGTTCATGTCCCATTCGTCAAATCGGCGTGTATTTCATTAACGCCAAAATAGAAAACTAATCGACAAGACATGCTCGAAAATCCTGAAATCAAAATAGAGAGCAACAGAATAGAGAAAAAATTCTTCAGCATCACGCGATGATTTTTTTTCCTTCTTCTAAAATTGAAATGAAAATATCGTTTGAGTTTGTGTCGCGTATCACTCGATAATCTTCCAAACGACTTATTATACATTATAATTATCGTCATAAATTAAAGCGACAAATAGATGAAAGGGACACTTTTTTGTCTCTGTTCTGTTCAAACAAAGCGTTACGATGTGCTGAACGATATCGAAGCAAATTAAGCAGCAACATCGGGGACTTGTAAAAAAATATTATGGTTGCGGTGTATATTGAGATCAAGAAACCTGAATCGGTCGTTTGTCAGCTAAGCGCATCTCTCATTCTTTCTCTCTCTCTCTCTCTCTCTCTCTCTCGCCATTTGATAATAAGCACCTGATAAGTGTTTTCGCCATTTGTTTTTCTCGCTTCAATAGTTTACCTCAAAACTTTTGGCGTCGCTCAAATAAAATGATATAATTTATTTGACATGAAAGTCAAAACAGTAATACACGCATAAGTCGCGAGCACTCATCTCAAGCGAGAAGAAAAACGCGAAAGACGTAGTCAGTATTGTCATTATGGCAGTCCGCATTTATAAAAATATATATATACAAAATCTTTCGTTCAACCAATCATAAAAGCATTAATTTGTTAATTTGAATATTTTTCGCATCGTCAATATGTGCTGACGATCGCGCAAGACCTGAAGCCGTTCCGACCGACCAAAAAGCTTTTAACTGAAACGTCAATAGAACGGGCTAAAATATGATCGCCAAGAAAATATCCGTTTTTTTCTCGCTTCTTCTACTTTTTCGGATAATTTTTTTTCCGCTTTTTACGTGATTATTTGCATATTGCCACCGCTCGCTGGATGCTATAATTATCAAATTTCATCAAGTTAGTTAAACAAATATGAATCGCTGAAATAATGATTGGACAAAGACTTTGTCACAAAGTGTCGTGTTTTGCGACTTTATTGTCGTCGTCGTCGTCGACGTCTTCCAAAAGAAGACGCGAAATACACCATGCGGCTTACAGGGATTTTTCGACCGAGCGGTTCAATTTAAAAAATTGAATAGAAGCCTGTTCTGTTTATGCTATTTAACCAATCTTTTATAGGCCTATAAGCATTTACATAATTTTTTCACTTCGATTCAAATTTTATTGCTACTAGTTACTTCAAGTTTGTAAAGCATCAAATTTCGAACCACGTAGTTGGAATGAAGAAATAAACCACACGCCGTATTTATTAACTCGCATACCTTAGACTTTTATTTTCGGTTCTAGTCTGCGTAAATCAAAAGTCTCAAAATTCCGTACCCCGATTACACAGTTTATTATAAATATGCTTGAGCTTTTGAAAAACACAAACTCTTCCATCTTATTTTTATTCACATTTTAATATCCCATCTGTCATTGATGCTAAAAGGTTTTTGGGTATTTGTTTTATCTACTGTTTTGCGACCGTGTGAACGAAAATACATCAGTCGAATAAATACGCGGATCGATTTTACTCAGAAATCAAGCGATTCAAAGAACCAGCCAGCGAACGAAAAAATTCAAATTTTTCAGTCATATTCACTCATGACATTTTACGGAAATATTCCCAAAACTAACAATTATGAGTTCATACAGTAATTTTTCGAATTTTGCCCCAGCCACGAATGAAAAAAAAATGACTCCGTGAAACCTATGGAAAGAACCTATGGAAAGATTCTTATCGCACAACTTTTTTTCTCGGTCGTTGTCGGAATATTTCGCAAGGATTTATTTGGTTTCTTGTTTGCATTGTTATCCTGTAAAACAAAGGCCAATCACGTAATCGTAAATCATATTACCTTCGATTTTGAGCGTGTGTGTGAGCAGCGCGCACACAAAAAGGTTTTCCATCAATCGCGACAATATCAACCATAAATTTAACGCTTTTGCGGACGAAACATTCACGGTGAAGCATCGAAAAGATGCCACAATAATCGCATCACATAAAATAAATCGGTGTTGCTTCGAATCGGCGTGGTTTTTTTTAAATTCGGTTTTGTTTTTAAGAAGTTTTTGCTGTCAAATTGAAGACTGTTTATAAGAAAGCAGAAAGGGAGAAAAAAGTGGTCTTAAAACCAAGAAAAAAAAACCCGAGCAAAATATAATAAATGGGAAGAGAATCGAAACGATACAAAAGCAACCAAATAAATTGTTTTTGTCATCATCATCGTTGTCGTCGACGTTGTCTTCGTGAAAGCAGAAAAAAAAGCATCACACACTCCGAATGTCACACAGAGACACGTTGCGCGATGCAACACTCACATTTCGTAGCATTCTTTTGTCATTTTTTCGTGTGTGTGTGTGTGTGCGATTCCGAAGCGATTCCGTACAAATGTAACTCTTTCGATTTTTTTTGCTATTTATTTTTTTGACATTGTTTCTGTTATAAACATATTTATAAAACAACAAGTCAAGAGACTGTTTTTTTCCCTCAGTCAGTTTGTGTGTGTATTTATTTTCATCGCGTCATATTCATTTATATTGTTTTGATTTTTGTTGCTTATTGTATGTAAATACACACAAGAAAAAAAAACTGTTTGTCTTTTTTGTGGCTTTTTTGCTTCTGTCTGTTCTGATCCTTTGATTTTTGTTTCGCACAAATTCGATATTGTTATAGTTTTCGTGTGTCTGTGCACCGATTTTGAAATTCGAGACACGAAAACTTCAATGTGATATATATTTTACCAATTGCACGGCTCACGTAACATTTGATTGAATAAAAAAATGTTGAAAATTACCCTAAATAAAGCAGCACACACACACACACACACACACACACTGCACAATCAGAGATCAATGGTGTGTGATTTTTACACTCACGACTTGAGTCTTGAGCATATATCAAACAAACTCGAAATTCGATACTTCCGCACTGAATGCATGGGCAAATAAATTTTATGCTATTGATCACCTTTCGGATGCAAACAAAAGTCAACACTTTACTCATCACATTGCTTGGTTTTTCCTTCAAATGATACAGTCATGGAAATTTAATTAGGACCGGCATTGAAATTTCAGTTTTTTCCCATTAATTCTGTTATTTTACGAAAAAA